AAATTGCATGCTAAGCACTCACCCAGTGGTCTGCTGTTTAGACTTACAAGGTTTATTTGAACCTGGCTCTTTCTGACACAAAATAACATTAGTAGCATTACTGTGACTGCAAGATAAAAGAGCTACGAGCCTTTAGGATTAACCAAGTTGAGTGCAAAGCTACAACCTTTGCTCTGAGATTCTGGAACATGTTTTTCCTCTCCTGGATTTGTAGTGTTTAATTTGCCATGGTGAACTGAATTAGGCTTGATTTACCAATAGTGACATGGATGCTTAGTACAAAATTAAGATACTGCATGTTAAATGTAGAATATTTGGGGTTCGCAAATGTCTACAACTGTGTCTCTTGGCACATTGCCTCTTTTTCAACTACTTTATTCTAATAAACATTAAAACTGATTCCAAGAATTTCAGCCAAATAGATTGGTACACTTATAGAATTTCCTCCAATGCTTATCTTGAGTCACTGTAAACAGGTTTTTAGTTTTGAATTTGGCCTGCTATTTCCATTTTTACGTACCTCATTTTGTCTATCTCTTTCATGGGGGTGGGAACGTGTGTAATCTTTACATACATATACTCTCCTTTCAAGAGGAAATGTATTGAGATCTATTCTTCCCTTCCCTCTTGCTAACTGGCTAAATATCATTAATGTGACTATATGCAGTGGTGTTGTAGCCATGTCAGACCCAGGGTATTAGAGAGACAAATTGAATGAGGTAATATCTTTTATTGGACCAACTTCTGTTGGTGAGAGAGACCAGCTTCTGAGGTTACACAGAGCTCTTCTTCAGGTCTAGGCTACCTGAAGAAGAGCTCTGAGTAAGCTCGAAAGCTTCACTCTCACACCAACAGACGGTGATCCAATAACTCATCTTACATCCACCTGGTCTTGTTAATATGACTAGTCAGCTCTAGTTTTCTCTCTTCTAGTCAGTCCCTCTCAATCTCAGTTTTAGTTTCTGGGCATAGTGAAGTAGGAGCTCCCAAAGTGAGACTGAAGTAATAATTTTGTATGCATTGGCTATATGCTGTAAAGCATGATTTCCAAGGATGGTCTGACTATATCAGATGATATCAACTAGTTGACCTACAACAGCTCTCTGTGTGTGTGTGTGTGTGTGTGTGTGTGTGTGTGTCCTAAAAATTCTATCTGAGGGTGCTGTCTTGAGAAAATGTAATTGCAAGCCAGAGGCAAATCTACACAAGATTAAAATACCTTTTGATGCTTTGGAAAGGGGTAGTGGTTTGGGGGATGGTTATCTTTGCTTTGGATCTCCCCAGATGGCTCTGTCATGGGCTTCTTCTGATACAACCTTAACTCCCCATCAGTCTCTTAAGTAAGGGTATGTCTATACAGCCCCACGGCAGCGAGCCTCCGAATCAAGGTAGACAGGCTCGGACTAGCTCTCTAAAAATATCTGTGTAGACAGTGCTTTGAAGTTGCAGCTTGGGCTGGAACTCAGGTTCTGAAGCCTCCTGGGCTGGGAGGCTCGCCCCCACGGACTGTGTAGACATACCCTTAGTGTGTCCAAAGCTGAAAAAGGGAAGAAATTCTATCCCATACACATCCATTGTTCACATTTACCTGGGATAAGGAACAATTACAATTGCTTCGGAAAAGGAGAAATTTTAAAAAGACTTGCACTTATTAAGTAATGAAATAAACCCAGCACTGCCTGGCTCATTCTCTATTTTCCCCTGAAGAATGTGTTTATTGAGAGGTTGTATTAAGAGAGCATGTGATTACATTTTTCTGATAATTAGTAGTTATGGAGCTTGTCACAAACTATTGCATAGCATGCTTTGAAAGCAGTTAGACGCTCTGTTTTTTTGTTTCTGTTTTTTTTTTTAATATAATGCTACTGTTTGTTTTATTGGGAAAAAAAAAAGTCTTCACAAGGTAGGGAGAATTCAGTTTTATTTTTCCCTATCTGTGAAGACTGATTTATTTTAAAATAATAATAGTGTTTAAAAAATAATGGGGGGGTGGGGGGGGCAGGAGACTAACATGTTGGCTCTATACTCAGTATTATAGATAGGCTTGAAAGGATTACATTTCTATTGGTAAATGTCGGTAAATATCAGATTCAACACACACACACACACACACACACACACACACACACACACACACACACACACACC